ACAGCAGCTATGTTTAAAGTAAGTAAAACAGTTTTGGTGCTTAAGACCCGAATGTTTCAGGAGAGTCACATCCAGGTCTCTGTTTGGTTCACACCATGTTATTAATCATAATACCACTAGCAGGAAGTTAATAAATACCCGAACAACATATATCACACGTTTTGATTGCACTCTGGGGGCATATCACTTGGCCTGTGCGGATTTTAAATACAGTCCGTGGACCTCATCAATCAGTGTCCTCCCTTTGAACTGTTGTCACACCAGCATCTGTTAAAGAAGGAGGAGATGTTCATGTATGTGCACAGGATATATTAGTCTATACATACATGACCTAATCGCTTGCGGTGAGGAAATGGCACAGCAACCCGCAGAGGAGGCGCAGCGGCACTTTACACACAGCGGGTGAGCCACAGTTTCCAGCATAAAAACAGAGGGAAGCCCTCGGCAAAGCTGTAATGTGTGCTAGTGTGTCTCCCGTATGGACTTGGCTGAGAGTTCCGACTGGATGTTTCCTTTTCTTTGAGTGCATTCATGTTATCGTACATTTGAGAGAAAAGTAAAATATAATATAACATTAAGATATCCACTCAAGGACCCTAACACACTAAATCACTCAGCACAACTTGTTTTTCCATGACACTTAACGACTGACAGTGGTGACTGTGCATCTGTCTTCCTGGGGAAACCGCTCTGAATGAAATTAGTACCTGATGCAAAGTTTGCACAGGCTGCTCCATGAGTGGTAATAGTGATAGCTGTTAAACTGTTATGTGACCAGCTCTTTTTTCAAGAATCACAGATCTCTGCGTAAAGGAGCTACACTCTTGCAATGCTGAAAATGTAGCGTGATGGGGTTCAAAATGTAGCCCTGAAAAAATGCAACACACATTTGTGTGTTGCAGTAAATTAGATGGTGACAGCAGGTAGGTTGAGCTACTAACCATCATTTAAAAGTTTGATTGTACTTCCTTTAGGTGCCACCTGAGGTTGGCTCCACAAAGGAGTCAATCGTGGAAGGCTCCAATTTTAAAATGGAAGACCAAAGCATTAGAAAACATGTTTTCAACTTTGACCCAAAAAAAAAGAGGAAAAAGAAAAAAGGTTTTGGCCTCTATGGATAGTTTCCCCCTCTCATAACAACTCTAAGTGGGATAATTTTTTTAATAACTTATCCAGCTGGACAATTGAGCTTCCCTGACGCAGGTAGTTGAAGCTGATCGGAGTCTGCTAAGCCTCATCCACTACTTTGAGTCATTAAACTGGACCTCTTCACTGTATGTATGTTGCATTTTAATAAATTATCTGACTAATATTAGACTATTATGGTACAGACCATCCAAAAAGTTTGTCCTTCAGATGTGCTGAGGGAAATTTTACTACTCTATTATTTCTAACGACACTAATTACACTAATTAGCTGATATGGGTCTGTTGTGTTGCACTTTGTGAATGCAGCTTGCTAACCAAGCTAGCTAGTATTAGCTGCTAACTTAGCCATCCACCCTTTTATCAATAAAAGCTAACGTCTAGCTCAAAAAAAAGCTTTGGCTAATATGGCAACGTTGACAGCTCAAGGTGTGGAACAATGGGTGACATCACGATAGATAAGTCCATCGTATTTTTTTTCACCAAGTGTCACTATGTCTGTTTTTGCCCCATCCATGCAACACGCAGTGTGCTCTAAATTATATCTAACAACCCAAAATGGTCTCAGATGTTGCTCTGTTGGCCAATTACATTCATCTCTCTGTGTGTCCCTGATGAGAAGAAGTCCGGGAACAAATTATCTGATTTAAAGATTTTTTTCTGTACCACAGAGTACATCAGGCACAGAGTAATATAGTCCTACAAAGGAGATAGAATTTGTCTTTAGTAATGCAAAGTTCTCTTGCATGCAGTAATTTGGATTAATATCCATTTCAGAACTTTTTTTAACGTGGTTTTTGTTTGTTTTTTTAAGCCAGAGTGACAGAGTTTCCAGTAATACTAGGGAACAAAGTATGTTGATCTTTCTATTTTCGCCGATGACATCACTAGGAAAACAGTGGGGACAGAGATAAGAGATTAAATAAATAGTGATTACAGACTGGTTTGAAAAGGACATGTCTGCCTGCTGTAGAGGAGTTTTGCTTTGCAGCTTTTCACACGCATAATCTAATCAAACGCAACCTTTCAGCACATGCATGGCTCCTAATGAGGCGATAAGTATTTTGATGACACCACTAGCAAGCACTTTGTAGTCCTGGGCTTGATTTGCAATCAACATGTGTAGGAGATAGGATTAAAAACAAGAGCAAGCTATGTTGATAAAACCCACAGAGAAAAGTGCAAGTCCTTGGGTCTATCAGATACCTTGAAATGAAAAAGCATGATTAGAGATGTGTTTAATACACTGTTGAACACCATGCCACCTAATAACCCCAGCATAGCAGCCATATCAATCCTCTATATGCAAAAATCAAAGTAGTTTATTCAAGACATAAATCTTTTTTTTTTTAAACTGACATACATGTAAGTGTGTATTAATATATACCACCATATAACTTAAACTTCTTCATGTAATTTCACCAGAATAGATCAAAATGTGTAGATTGTCTCTGTTTTAAGTTAAACTGGAATATAAGTAGTAAAAGTGAACAGAGCTTTTGTAGTTGTATAAATGTAATTGACTGAAGTTTAAAGTAATATACCGGGGAACCTTTCCAAAAAAATGGTACTAAAGTATATTATTTGAGTAAATATACTTTGAGTTTACCATGAAAAGCTAAACTATAAAGGATGGTGCAATCATGTGTTGTGTGATGCTATAAATTTTGGTATCACTCGGATACCAAATACAGGGTCAGTATCGCTGATACCAATACCGATACCGATAGAGCAGGGTGTCATGATTTATGAGATGAATCTTCATCAGTTTGGAAATTATTAACATATGTTAATGACCAATAAATCACTGTGACTTTTACTTTCTACAATAATTAGTTAGCACTGAAACTGGGTGTTTTTAGCACCTTGGAATGTAAATGCGCCTGTCTTTGAAGCACTTTGGGTCACCTTCTGTTGTTTAAATGTGCTATAAGCAAATAAAACACAAGACACAGAAAGGTTCAGACAATTTTCACAGTGCATGTTAGAGTTATATTTATATAAAGTATCAACCCTGGCGCTTTAGTATCGATACAATACCGATACCAGCGTTGCTATCAATAATATCAATATTTGGATTGATCTAACCACCTCTAGTGCAATGCTCTACTCTGACTATACCCAATATTAGAATGGTACATCTTTATTAGAAAATTTCAACATAATTTACTATAAATAAGTTTAATTTTTCTTGTCCATAAAAAGATTTCCTCCCATAATGCATTACAACCACACTAATAATTAGGTCTTATTATTAATCATACAGATTTATATGTACTTTATTGGGTGTTTTTCTATGTAATAGCAGCACATGGATCTAGTTACATGTGTCCCCCTAAATCCAACTGCCCTTTAGCAGCTACTGAAGAAAGAAATGACATACTGCTGTAGAAGTGACCCACCCTACTGTACCACACTTACATCATGGCCCACAACCCAAGTGTACATGTGGAATTTGTGTGTGTGTGTTTGTGTGTGTGTGTGTGTGTGGGGGGATGTCTTGTGAATAAACCCTGCGGAGCTGTAATTGCTTTTGGAAGCAGGGGGAATTCCTTTAAAAGTATAAGAAAAAAAAAAGCAGGGTGGGTAGGTGGTGGTGGGTTTAGTGAGGGGGAGGAGGGTTGGTAGTAGAGGAACCCCTTAATTAAAGGATTGTTCCATGCCAGTGGGCCATCTGTGTGGAAACGCCTGGCAGAAGCACACTCAGCAGTCATAACATATTTTCTCCAGGGGCTGTAGGCACTTTGGTGATGCATGCATGTGCCAGACGCCTTGACCCTGGCTGCACACTGTACTTAAGGGACTACAGCTGCATCACATGGCACACATATTCTATAGTATAAAAATATGGGATTTCATTAGTTGTGGAAATATAAATATTACATATGCTACCCTGTCGGGTCTTATTTTTCTTAAACAGACTGCTTCTGATTTTATTTTATTTTTGTCAGTTTGTCAGCTGTGACAGACATTAAAAAAGTTTACATTCTAAAGTGTTTCTCATTTTTGCTTGAATCCTGATTTCCTGATTTGCTCTTGTGCAATGATGCAGTTATTTCCTTCTATGAGCTAACAATCAGGCCTCAGATTTAGATTATAAGTGGGTCACAGACATATTTTATTGTGCTTGCAATATGTCATGTTGTCCAGTCAGATGATCACTTTCAGAGGTCAGCATTTGGCTGTGTGTCTCTTTTCTGACAGGGGACGTAGGTCTTACGCTACCCCCTCACCCACTGTGGAAACTTTCGGAAATTCACTGATTGTTAAACTTAAGACCCACTATTTAGAGTAGGAACTCAGGTTACCAAAGCATATGAGAATTAGCTGGCACTGAGGGAACAAAAATTAACCAAAGGTATTTCAGAACGTAAAGTGATGCTTTTTTTTTATTATGTGTTAAACTTTCCATGACATAAGAACTTTATTCCTCCTTAGAAATGCTGGGAAAATAATAGTGTTTATGATGTGTCAGAGCTTGGAAAGCTGGACTGTATGTGAGGGTGTAGAGTTCCTTTAGGGGTGTTCTTATATAATATTAGTGGATAAACAGGATTAGCATTTTAGATATTTAGGTTTAGGATGCTCTATTTTTACCCTCTATGGAAGACTTAAGCAGCCAAAAAATAAATAAATAATAATTGAGAAATTATCAAAAGACAACAAAATACAAAGGTAAATATTAAAAGGAAATATCAACCTATATAAGGTTTCAAAAATTAATTAACACCTATTTTTACATTTTTTTTCTATATTTTGTGCTTTTTGATTAAATGACGTACTTTTGTCAGGAAAAAAGCTAACTAATCAAATTCCTAAAAATCATGTTCCTTTTTTTCTTTCCTTTTATTACAGGTTAAAGCTGTTAATTGATCAGGAAAAGGCCTACCAAGAACGCAAAGACGAAGAAAACAACAAAAAGGTGGCAAGCCTCAAGGAGGAGCTGACAAAACTCAAGTCGTTTGCATTGATGGTTGTGGATGAACAGCAGCGTCTTACCGACCAGCTGAATCAACAGACAGCTAAAGTTCAAGAACTGAGTGCCAGTTCTTCACAAGCCCAGGAAGAGCTGAGCTCAGCTAATGCTCGTCTGCAGGAAGAGGAGCAAAAGGTCTGTCGCTTGGAGGCTGAGCTGCGTGACCAAGCCAGTCGATACCATCAGGAACAGGAAGCCATGACTGCCAAATTAACCAGCGAGGATGCCCAAAACAGGCAGCTGCGTCAGAAGCTTTCAGCTCTCAGCAGGCAGCTTGATGAGCTGGAGGAGACCAATAAAACCCTGCGCAGGGCTGAAGAGGAACTGCAAGAGCTGAGAGACAAAATTAGCCGTGGTGAGTGTGGAAACTCTGGTCTCATGTCAGAGCTTGAAGAGTTACGAAAACGGGTACTTGAAATGGAGGGAAAGGATGAAGAGCTGATCAGAATGGAGGACCAATGCAGGGACCTCAACAAAAAACTGGAGAAAGAGGCCAGCCAAAACCGGTGCCTGAAAGCTGAAGTGGACAAACTGAATCAGAGAATCATGGACTTGGAGAAACTAGAGGATGCATTCAGTAAGAGCAAACAAGAATGCAGCTCACTGAAAAGCAACTTGGAGAAAGAGAGGTCAGTGTCAAAGGTTCTGACCAGTGAGTTGGAAGTCCTCAAAGTCAGAGTCAAAGAGTTGGAGGCTGCTGAAAGCCAGCTGGGAAAGACAGAGCTGACTATGAAGGAAGATCTCACCAAGCTAAAGACTCTCACAGTGATGCTGGTGGATGAGAGAAAGGCAATGGCAGAGAAGCTGAAGCAAATGGAGAACAAAGTCCAGAACAGCACAGGCAAACTGCAGGCTGAACAGGACAGAGTTACATCAGTTACAGAGAAGCTTATTGACGAAAGCAAGAAAGCACTGAGATCAAAGGCTGAGCTTGAGGAGAAAATCTGCGGTGTTACAAAGGAAAAGGATGACGTGAAGGCCAGGTTAAGAGCTGAGGAGGAGAAGAGTAACGATTTGGAGTCTAAAATAAGCTTGATGAAGAAAAGGTTGCAATCACTTGAGACAATAGAGAGAGAATACCTGAGAAACAAGGCTAAAGAGGAGAATATCAAAACGCCAATTGCTAACCGCTTCCAGCAAGAAGACAACAAAGTAAAAGATTTGACCCAGGAAGTCGAACGCCTCCGACGCAAGTTAAAAGACATGAAAGTGGTGGAAGGCGAATCATTAAAAACAGAGGCGTTTGAATCGCTGGAGAAAAGATTTAACAACGAGCAAGAAAAAGCTAAAGCCTTGATGGAAGAGCTGGAAGTATCTAGAAAAGAGCTTTCGAAGTACCAGCTGGTTGAAAAGAAAGAGTGCAACCAAGAGCACGTCCTTTACAAACGCCTTAAGGAAGAGGAGGCCAAGTCCAGCCATTTGACCAGAGAGGTGGCAGCTCTGAAAGAGAAGATTCATGAATACATGGGAACAGAAGAGTCCATTTGCCGCATGAAAACTGACCACTCGACACTGCAGAGAAAACTGACCCAGCAGGAAGTCAGAAACAAAGAACTGGCCAGAGAAATGGAGACACTCACTCGAGAGCTGGAAAGATACCGACGGTTCAGCAAAAGCCTTCGCCCAGGAATGAACGGCAGGCGCTTTTCAGACCTGCATGTTTCCACTAAGGAGGTTCAGACAGACCCACTTGATTTCATGTCTCCCAACTACAAGGGTATGCCACCACTGGAACGTGCAGTGGTGAACGGCAAGCTGTACGACGAGAACGAACCGGAAGAAAATGCAAATTACAGCAATGAGCTGCAGCTCACCAAATGTAGCCCCGCGATTATCAATAATGTAAATAATCTTAACAACAACCTGAAAAGAGCACGAGGCCCACTCCTTAAGAACAAAGACGCTCCTCATCAGGTCAATGGAAAAATGCAACCGCGGCAGAACGGCAGCCATGTTCAGCCTGGAGACGTTGTGCTGACCCACAGTCCTGGGCAACCTCTGCATATTAAAGTGACACCTGACCACGGACACAACACTGCAACGCTAGAGATCACCAGTCCAACCACAGAAAACACCCAGTCATTCACCAGCACTGCTGTCATACCCACAAGCGGGGGTCCACCCAAACAAAGAATTACCATCATCCAGAATGCATCTATATCCCCTAATGCAAAATCCATTTCCCCAACAGCAAAATCTAAGAGTTCCTCTGTGTCTGATGAGCCATGTTCACCAGATAGGGCCCTGTCACCTTATACTATGGCTACATACTCCAGAGCAATGACCCCAGACTCTTGTGGCTCTGTAACCCCAGACAGAGCCATGTCACCAATACAAATAGTATCAGTGATGACAGGCACCCCAGACCGCTCCTTATCCACGGAGCCAGTCGAGGTTGTTGGAGGACACGCCGTCTTCCGCGTGACCCCCGAAAGGCAGAACAGCTGGCAGGTCCAGAGGTCCCCCAGCTTGGGGCCCAACGTCATCACCACAGAGGACAACAAAATCCACATTCACTTAGGGAGCCCATTCATTCAGGGCATCAGCACTTCGTCCCAAACGCAGAGTCCATGCCACACGCCTGGACTTCCGGAACAAAGGACTCAGGTCCTTGCAAACTGCAGTTCTCCTACTGTCAAAGCCAACAGCAAAATCACAAGTAGCATCATGATTAAGCCCACCTCCACCCCAATCCAAAGGCCATCACAAATTACAGTAAGTAATGCCTACAACTGACCTGATAACCCCCAAAACCTTCCATCCCATCCTGCCCATAAGATACCTCTTATACCCCAACTCTATACCCTAAAAAAAAGTCTGATTTGCTTCATTTTTGAGCTTAAATGGTTGAATGTTTTACTTTTCATTTTTGTTGGTTTGCTTGGTTCTGTGTGATAAAGTTCAAACAACTGTGTGCCTGCATGAAAAAAATAAAGCACTAGAACTTGAATTAATCTGACATAACACAAGGTTTTAACTTAAGTGCACTTACTGTATTGTACTCAGTGGCACATTTGCCATGTAGTCAGACTATTCACACTGATGTATCGTACCAATTTTTATACTTCATACTCCACATACTGCATTATTATTAAGTTGTTTGCTTTCCTGAGAATTAAAGTGTGCAAAAAGAAGTATGTTTTAGTTTGTCATCCATGCTTGCCTATTTCATTTATTCACTAAATCCAGCATGTTTTGAATTTTTTCTTTTTAAAAATACATATAATGTGGGAATATGCCAATAGATTAAAATCAGCTCTTTGATTTGATTTGTGCTGCATGCACTGTAACGTTTTAACACTTAAAGACTTGAATCCAGTGAGTCAAAGCCAAAATGTCTGCAGATCACTTTCCGTTAGACTCAAGTGGAAGATTTTTCAGAATAAAAAACACAGTGCTTATGTTTGACCAGATGACACAAAAGCAAAGTCAAAAACCCCTCAGGGATTCTCACATGGTTGAGTTAAAATCATAAGCTGATGTCATAGTTTCTTCTTCGGGACACAGAAACCCAGTAACTGAGAAAGAAAACCACAGTTGTGTGAACTTGGGAGTTCTCTTAAATGACATAATGGAAACTCTGCTTAAAACCTTTAAACCTTAGTGCAGCGCACTGTAACGCTGCTGTGGAAGGTGAGTCTTGTACTTTTAAAAATGCAACAGCCGCAGTTGTTCTTCAGCAGTGGTTTTTCAAACATAACTGAAACAATCTTACATATTCACTGGACCATGAAAACTTTTAGCATCAATCGTGTATGCAACACTGCAAAGGGTACCTGCTAGATTACATCAGTGATTTCAAACCAGGGGTAACAGCACAAGAAAGCCTGCAGGTGTATGTGCAGAGACAATGGATTACGTGGGAAGACTGAGTGTACCTGAATAGGTATGAATAGAAGCATTAAAACTCATATGACCGTAAAGGTACAGTGCAAACAGAAACCCAAAAGCAATAAATACATCATACACAGATGAGGATTAGGTCCACTGAGAAAAAAAAATGTAGGGAGTCATGACTTTTCTTTTTCTCTGAAAAAACACAACACAAAAACTTTATATATACTTTTAATTATAGATGAATATAAAAGGGACATAAATGTGAACAAATACTTCACATATAAAGATTAATACTCTGCATCTAATTGGAGCTGTATCCTAAAGTAATGTCTTATTGTTACTAATAAGCTAACTATAACTCCTAAATGGTCAGATGAAAGCAGTGGCTAACGGTAAACATAGCTGACACTCAGATGAAACTCGCCTAAACAATGATAATTCAACTGGCTGAAAACTTACATACAACATACATTTTTATATAATTAAATGTGAAAACAAGATTAAGTTTAACCTCGATTTAAATGAATAGATCTCAATAGATGATGATGTGATGCAGGCTTGAAAAAGGTTGGGAACATTTCAATCTCACATGAGGGTCGGAGTAAAGAGAAGATGATGGAAAAGGGCAGAATGAGAAGGAGACAGAAGACCCGTGTGGCAGTCCTTATAGGCAGCATTTGAAAGAAGATGTAAAGTACAATTCTGGAAAAAAAATTAAAAAAAAAAAAGATTACAACAATACAAAAACTTTACATTAATAATAACAGTCTAAGTTGTCCAACATAGTGCAAAAAATATAGTAATATAATCATAACTTATACATATTAAAACTGTTTTAATATTCTCTTAAGTAGTAAAGAAAAGTTTTTTTAAAAAAAAAGACCACAGTATGTCTAGGTTATCTGAGGTAGTCCTGTGCTTAGCAGTTGGTATAGTTGCCCTTACCAGGAGGTAAACTTTTCTCAGACTTAATCTGGGACTGTAAGAGAAACAACAGTTTTTAGACACAAACAATTGCATTATCTTACTAAGTTAACATCTGCCTATATATGTTACAAATGGGCAGGACTGAAAATATAGCTCTAACTGCTAGCCGCTACTCGCTGATCCTCACAGCTAATGTGGCTATTGGGCAACTGCTAATAGTTAAACAGGTAATAGTTAAACAGGTAATGCTAACATGCCATTGAACAGGTTAACATTTAGGATAATTGTTAAATACTTCAACATCGTTGAACAAAATTACTTATAAAGAGCCAGATTAACTAAACGGGGTAACTAGCTTGTTAGTGCAAAGTGTCTTTAGTTTTAGTTTTATAAAAGTTGTGCTGTGTTCAAAATACAGGCGCAGGTATTTAATTTCAATATGAAGCACAACAAAAAATAAAATAAAAAATAAAAGACATCCTTTTTGTCAGCATTCAATATCGGCACAATTAGCGGTAAATTACGGATCACAAACATCGGTGAATCCGAGTCCAATTTAAATATTCTCCTCCTTATACTTTGTCTGTCACAAAAATCTGTGAGTTTACACCTCATACCTTCTCATGCTGCTCTTGTTGGAAATACCAACACAGCACTTGTTTTTTGGTATTTGGTTTTTTACCTAAAACCCAGTTTGCACTGGTTCAGTGTTTTCATAAATCTGGCCCAAAAATGTTCAGTGAACAAAAACTACTGTAGCTGCTCCTGAGTCGAGGCCCTTTGTTGTGCCTACCTGTATGCAGCGGTGCTGTATGAAGTTGGGTGTGAACTGTAGGAGGTGAAGACAGCACTGCTGCTCACTACTCTGAGAGGAAGATGCACCCACCTCTAAGCACTGGGACCAGAGGGCACTGCACTAAAAGTGGATGATGTTCATCCAAACATGCGGCGTGACAAAGAAAATCCTAAAACTTGTGGTGGAAATAGAGGGGAAAAAAACTGCCTTTATTTCCCAATGTTATGAGCATAGCAACTGAATAATGCACTCCAGGAAACATACTGTAAACATCACAAAACCCCTTCAGAAAACCTGATACTGTGTTTGGGTCACAGGAACACAAACGTATTCGTTGAAAGTTCTTTTTACCGAGCGTGCCTTTGACTGGGTAGAAAACCAAAACGTTTATTTTCTTTTCTCCCATGAATCACGTCCTTTGAGATGAGTCATCTGTATAGCCTACAAATGTTTTCTATGTATATGAATTCTTCCACATGGACTGAAAATGTTACCTCGTACGTGCGTTTCACTTCACGTTAAATCTGTACCAAAGGTCAGAACTGGATGGTCGGGGAGGGGAGGTTGATTGAAAGGCAAGAATGAAAGGATGCAAGAGGAAAAGGTAATTAATTTCATGTCTTAAGGAAAAGATAATGAACGCCTCAGATGGGCTTTCCTCATCGCAGTGGCATTTTATGCATGCGATGAGGAAATACGATTGACTTGTTTAAAATCAAACACACACAAATAATCTTAATTATTTTACTCTGTATTTCCAGCTGGATCAAAGCCACCAGATCCATACTTTAATTGTTAGGTGATTCACACCTTTGTTAACAAGTAGGGCAACAAATTAAGTGTTGTAAGGGGTAGAAAGACAAATTTGAGCAACTTCATTGCTTTTCTTTCCATCCCTGAGCCTTCCTCTTTACCCAAAGTCTTACATTTTACCAATAACCATTAAAAACTAATACACTTTAATGAATTACAAACTCATACTTTCATGGAGCGAGGCAAGTACTGCAGGAAAACTGTTGAACCTGACCCAAAGGCAGACGAGCCGGTGTGGCAACGAGGCGATGATTAAATCAAGCATTAAATCCAATGAGTGAGAAGGAGCACAGCTGTGGAAACCAGAGCCAAAGCTCGCCTGGGTGTGATGAAACGATGCAGGGGCTAAACAAGATGCTATTCATTAGACCTCTCCTTGAGAAAAGCATCCAGCAGCTGGGATTACTGTCTGCGACCTTAATTACCCCCTGACTCACTTTAAACTTATTCGATTCATAAAACTCATCTGGTTCAGCCAAGGAAGACAGATCTGTGCACGGTATCCCAGCCAGACTGGGAGAATGAGTATCATGTGACACACTGGAAGGCTATTTCATTTAAAAGCCTGCAGCAATGCTCCCTTCTGCTGGGTGAGAGCGAAGCTGTAATCACACTAAGCTCACAATGATACTGCTGATTAAGAGCAGAGTTGTTCAGGGGTGAAAGAAAACATCAAAAATGCCAGACATCCTGATGTGACTTTTGAACAATCAGCTACTGATATCAATCAGCCAGGGACAGGAAAATTGAACGATTACCATGGCGCGAACAAAGAGAGCAGATCTCTGTGCTTTAGCCCACCTTGACCCTTAATAAACAGCAGTACTGGGGTTTTGTCTAAACAAAAGGCTTCGTGAGTGTGAGAGTGCAGACATTGTGAAAGCAAGCCTCTCTCCCACCGCAACGCAAGCACCAAAACAAACCTTGTGTTTGGTTGCCACAGAAACAGCTGTGCCGGTGCAGAGTGTGGGGCAGAGGAGGAAGTACTCAGCTGAACTCCTGCTGTACCGCTGATATATGAGAGGACAAAGCCGCACATTAAGGTCTCTCTCCAAGTAAAATCAACAGCACTCCCATGACGTGGGTCAGATTTTCTGGACCATTAGCTCTGCTGAAGCATGAGGCCCTACTTATTCTGAAATTTATACCCCGTATGAATATTTAAGGCTGCAGTTCACTGAATATTTCTTAATTCTCTAAACCTCACGAGCGCTTCTCCTAAGTCACAGCAAGAGGTTTGGAGCTCGGCAGGGAATAATATCGGTGAAGTGATGAAACTCGTGGAAATACTGAAAACTTTCACTGGGCTGGAGAAAAGGATACCAGATCGATGACACTTTCATACAAAGAGACGGTTTCGGTTTTTATTTCTGACTCCAGTGAACTCCAGATAAAAAAAGTTAAGAGGCCTGGACTGAAAAGGGCTTTTTAAACTTTTTTTTTTGCTAGAGATATCTCAAAATGCTTTCCTAATATCAATTCTGTTTTAGGGATGTTTGATGTAAAGTACAGACATTTTTTGCAGTACCAATCAGCTTTTGAAAAATGAGGAAAATGTGTAAAAGTCCTGAAGCATCTCTCATTTCTTAATATTTTACTAAGAAAATGGGAAATACGTGCAGTGGTTTATTTAAATGAGCCAGTACACATGGAAATACAGTATATGAGGCAAAAATGAGCTTTTTAGAATTCTAACAAGCCTGAAAGTCAATATTTGTCGTTATTTAACCCCCTTTATTCTTCAGCCCAGTCTGAACTCTCTTAGGCAGCTTTCTTGTCATTTGTTTAAGTAGTCTTCATGAATAGTTCTCCAGGCTTCTTGAAGGACATTCAAAGATCTTCTTTGGATGTTTGTTCTGTTCTCTGTCAACACGATGCCACACTGCTTCGATAATGTTGATGTCCGGGCCCTGGGGAGGCTAATACCCAGCCTTTTCGCCCTGTTTCCCTTCCTTAAGAATGGCATCTTAATAGACACTTTCACTGATACTATTTCCTGGCTAATAGCTCTTTGGGAATCCACTCGTTGGTGCAAAGATAGTATTCTATGTCTGTCAAACATGATCATAGATCAACATTTAAGTGGCTTAACAAAAAAAAAAAAAAAAGCATTTGTCTGAAAATGGGTGCAAGAACTGTATGGCGTTATTTTTGTGC